CCACCCCCAGAACAGCTGCTAGTGTTGCAGTGTCAATATCCTCTTCCATTCAGATTCTTTCAATTATGTGTTGATGTTAGACAATTATGAGCTGTTACAGTAAAAGCATCTGCTGACAATGTAGATACCTAACACAAACTATTTCAATGTTTTGTCCAGAAATATGGTTTGATTATCCTGTCAAATCAGTTCCATGTATAAACACTACAGTCCTGACATTTAAACCACATGTGTACGCACGCACGCACGCACGCACGCACGCACGCACGCACACACACACACACCCTGCAGCATAATGCTCCATTTACCTCCACTTGACACCCCTTATATAAAAACTGTAAAGCACACAACATTAACACCTTACTCTGTACACACACACACACACACACACACACACACACACACACACACACACACACACACACACACACACACACACACACACACACACACACACACACACACACACACACACACACACACACACACACACACATCATTCATATCCAGGTAGACACTTGTATGCTTTTATCAGCATCACAGCAGCACTAAGTCTCTCTCCTCAGCTCTTACTGCTCTCCAGCTGTTTTCACTGTTTTTCCTTTCTCTTGATTTCAATCTCTGCACACCTCCCCCATCTCGTCCATCCTCCTCTCGTTGCTTTGATTTGTAGCTGCCTGTGGGGGTTGTTTTTACAGTGTGTGAGGGGATTAAGGGAAAAAATTACTTTAATGTCAGCAAATATATGTTTTGGACTTGCACATACAGTACTGTAGCTGCTGCATAATGATGATCGATGTATGTGTTCACATCAGGCTTTGGAAGTAATGGATTACATGTAATGGGATCACGTAATCAGGATAACGGTGACTGTATTCCCTTACATAAAAAAAGATTATACCAGGTTTCATGTCTAAAAAAGAAATACTTTTATATTGTGATTCTCAGATTAAGTTACCGATTACATTTCTTTGTAACTAGTAGTAATTTTAACAGATATTCTTTTTAAAGTAACTCTCCCAACCCTGGTTCACATACAGAAACATGCACAAAATAAGACTAATTAAATGTACCTTTCACAGTAGACATGCTTTCTTTTTGTAGTGAATTCCAAACGTTTTGTCAGTTATTTTGGGAGGATTTAAAGGTGGGGTATGTAATTTATTTCAGATACACTTTTTGTTATATTCCATGGAATGCTCTTAACCTGTTAAGCACCAAGCCTGTTTTTCATGTTTCAGGCTCGAAAATGACATGCCCAAAACAAATTACTACAACTTAACTTCTAAAAGGGTTATATGAATAATTTCTTTTATCAAAGCAAGGTTACATCTGTGAGTTGGATGTAGAAGTGTCAGAATCAATATAAATGTTTTTATTTTAAAGAAAATTCAGATTTTACATAGTAAAAAACTGTAAATTATAGTGTCCGTCCAAAAATTCTTTTTTACAGATAGTGAAAACTACCCTTGGATGATGGGTTAGTAGACTAAAAGCTTTAGGAATCCAAAGTACAACATATAATAAGTACCCTGTATCAAGATTGATGCAAAACAAGTGACATTTGACCTTTTTAGAGAGATTTAGCCAAAACCACTCCACCTTTGAGGTGATTTGGGTGAAAATGTTTTTCTTTCCATATCTCTGGCCCCCCTTGGTCGATTTGTTTGGTTGACACCTCTTTCTGACCGTTAGAGCCAATAGAATCGAAGGGGGAGGCCCACACACACACTCATTGTGAAGAGAAAAGGTGGGGGCTGCGCGCATGTAATGCGGCTTTCACACCAGCGCTTTTCCCTCTCTAGCTCCTAGCGAGAGCTTTTCTGGTTCAGCTCCGGTTTCCCTTTTCAGCTCCCGCTCTGTTCACACCGCCCAGAGCTGCCGAGAGATTTTCTCCCACAACAACAACGGGCCGGGGACTGCGTCGGGTCGACGATCGTGTTGCTTTTAATCATACGAAGCCAGATTAAATTAAATAACGACTTCTCCAACCTTATACTTTTCTCCAGAGTGCCGTGGTTCATTGTTTATTAATGTGTTTCAGCGGCATTTACCGACCGCTGCAGTGCTGCTGCTCTTCAACGGGAGTGTATTCTCCCGTTAGCTCACACGGCTCTAAAGTATTCACTGTCTGACTGTCACACAAGCAGCTGATACATATCCCCAGTTCCCCTTAAGTGAATGTGTGTCAGTCTGAATTGACGCTGTTTGGTGTCAGTCTGAATTGACGCTGTTTGGCATCACAACGCTGTTATGAAAGTTTCTCTGGTATAACATGGGTGATGTTAGCATAGCAACCGAAGCTAAACTGACTACTTGCTAAGCCGTTTTCTCCAGGCCCTTTTTACCGGCGTATTTTTCATTATGATTCTACTTGTGATAGTCGGACATGACAACCTGTACAGCCCATGTATTAATTCCATCCGATAGCTGCTATAATAACAAACAAAACGTCTGCCTGCTCTCCACAATGATCAATAACAGCGAACGGATGGTCAAAGTAAGGTTTCCTGCACGCCTCGACGTAAGAGACGCCGCGTCATAGCTCCGAAGCTCTTGCCTCTGGACCGACAACTTTTTGGAGCTGGAAGTGAACCGCATTCCGGAGCTATGACGCGCCGCCGCTGCGGTGTGAACAGGAAAAACCGGCGCTTTTCAGGCTCTAGCTCCCAGCAGGAGCTGGAAAAGCGCTGGTGTGAAAGGGGCATAAATGTCCAGCAGAGTGGAGCTACATTCTAGCTCTGGCATTTGGAAACAAAAAAGCAGTTGTATTGCTTATGGATTATCAGAAATAATTTCAAAGAGGGCACAGATACATTGGATGAACCTATGGATTAACTGCAGCATCGTTTTTTTATCGTTTTAATGCCATTGAAGACCAGTTTTGACCAAGGTAAGCCATGTTAGCGTTTCTAGCTACTTAGCTCCACATGTTAGGATGTACGCTTTCGTTTATAGCGTCGCAAATGATTATCACTGAGTGTTGAGGGCACCATTAGATTCAGTGTCTCCAGGACACCAAAAACGAGTGGTTGGTTGTGCATCTAGGATAAGTAATAAGGGAGTTAGAGTGAGTTTAAATGCCGTTTTAGGTTAAATTTTTTCGCTCGTGGCTAATTCAGAGGCTGAGTGCTAGCATTGTGGGGGTTTTTTGGAGAAAAAAAATTAAAAAGATCAGTTAGCTGAGTTTCTTCCCGTTACATGGATATAAAACATTCATAGTTTTATTAAATATTAAGATTCCTTAGACGTTGTTTCCTGCAAATGACGCGTTTATCCGCCCGGTACCGGGGGGGCCGTGCGTAACAGGTTAACATCCCGATAGCAATGAATACATTAAATGCTTTGACAATAAATACATACAAAAAATGTCATCTGTGGAAGCCGTAGTACTGTAAAAAGCACAACCAATCATCTGAGCCGGCCAGGCTAAAATAACTGGATGGCCTACCTGCCTGTCAGCCTTCCATCTGTGCACAAACTTATCTCGTGCCCTCATTGGTCATGTGTGTGTTCGTGTGTGTTGGAGGAGGGGCTCTGTAAGGAAGTCTGAAGGAAGGGGCAGATTTTTTCCGGTTGTGTACTTTCAAATTCTAGCGCACTCGAGCTGGTTTCTCCAAAATGACATACCCCACCTTGAACAGCTGATATTGTTTCTTGTGGACTATTCCAGGGGGGAAAACTGGGGGAAAACAAAGAATACCATTGTTGGTTAGGAACAAAGTGACATCACTATGGAACACTCAGGCTTCTATTGGCTAATGTCCAACAAATTGTACGTGATTAAACAGTTGACCAATCACAACAGAGCCGGCCAGCTAACCAATCAGAGCAGACTGGGCTCTGGTTTCAGACAGAGGGTGAAAAGAGGTGCTGCAGCACAGGCAGTATGAGCAAAATAAAGACCTTTTTGAACATTAAAGAATGGAGACATGTCACAGTAGAGACACTACATACAGATATGAACCTGAAAATTACCAGAAGATGTTTTCTTTAAAGCAAGTGAACATTTTTTTGCAGGATTTAACAGCTGAAGGACATGGAGCCAAAACACATTTGTTACTTGTGTACTGTTCCAGAAAATCAAACATTGTGAGAATAGTGTGTCAAACGCAGAGGGAATAAAGGAGTGGATGGATGATATTAGAAAGGATGAAACCTTCAAATATAGTTGACAGGTGAGACAAGTAGTCGGAGCTACAGAGAGAGAGAGAGAAAGAGAGAGAGAGAGTGTGTGTTGCGTTACGTGCCTCTCAGATCCCTGAAGGTGCGCTGTCGGCTAAAGTATCTGCACTGCTGAGAAAATCAAAAAGAAAAACAGGAAATATCAAAACAAGAAAAGAGCATCCAAATATCGGGAGAGAGAACAAATAGCGGAGAGCGAGGGAGACGCAGAAGAGAAGAGGGGAGAGGGGTGAGACAAGGGGGGTGAAACTGGGGCGCATGCACATTAGTGACACGCTTATACAGTACAGCAGACAGAAGAGGAAGAAACTGAAGAAGAGGAGAGGAGATGAAGTGACAAGACGCCGAAAAAGTGCTGATTGCAGGTGCAGGATCCTGAGCGTGACTCCTCTCCTTGCTTCCTCTCTGCCTTGTCTCCTTATCCCTTTTCTGACCCTGTCTCCTCCTCCCTCACTCCCCCCCTCTCTCTCGTTCGCTATCCTCTCCTCCCACAGAGCATGCAGGGAGAGCCTGGGTTGCATCTCTCTCTCTCTCTCTCTCTCTCTCTCTCTCTCTCTCTCTCTCTCTCTCCTCTATCTCTCTCATCGCTTCTTCTCTCTCTCCTCATCTCTCCTCTCTCTCTCTCCTCTCTCTCTCTCTCTCTCTCTCTCTCTCTCTCTCTCTCTCTCTCTCTCCCTCCCTCCCTCTCTCTCACGCTGCATCCCTCTGCTCTCCCCAGCTGCTCCGTTTGTGATTCTGCAGCTGAGAAAAATCCCCCGAGCTCTGCATCAGCGAACAGGACACAGGAGCCGCGAAAGGGAAATACATTGTGGGATCCCTCAAAGAACAGAGGAGTCTTTTGTTCTTCTCGTGCTTTTGATGGTTGATCTGTTCCCTGCCTTCATCTCTTCTACAAGGAAAGCCTTTAAATGAGAGGACAAAGACACATTTTGCAGCTTTAGAACAAAGTGATGCAAATGGAGAGACTGCTTCTGGAAGCGAGGAACTAACGACTTAATCGATCTTCAAGAAATAACTGCAAACTGCCGAAACACTGACTTTGAAGAGGACGAGACGCTGAATCAAGACATTCAAAAACAAAGACCTCCACCACCTGACTTTGTCTCCTCTCCTTCTGTGTCACTTTCCCCTTCCTTTTACTCAAAGACCTCCACCACCAGACTTCATCTCCCCTCCTCCGTGGTCCCATTTGTACTTTTTCTTCTTGCGTCCCCCCCCCCGACTAAAGCTCAGCCATGCAGGTGTCCATCGCCTGCACGGACCACAACCTGAAGAGGGGGAATGGAGGAGACCACGGCAAGCAGAGCGCCTCCAGCCCCAACGTGGTGAACCAAGCCCGGGCCAAGTTCCGCACCGTGGCCATCATCGCCCGCAGCTTCGGATCCTTCGCCCCCCGCCACATCTCTCTCAAGGAGTCCACGGGGAAACACACGGGCATGAAGTACAGGTGTGTGTGTGTCAGTGAGGAGTGTGTGCTCAGTTGTAGGTTTCTTGAAAAGACAGTTTGTTTTTCCTGCACATGTTTGTTTGGCTGCCATGCTTCTCGTGTTTCTTTCTATACTTCCACTCCAGCACAGCCGCTACGCCTTCATGATTATTTAATTACGACGCTCAATATTTCATTATACAGTATAGTTGAGTTGCTGACACACTTGTGATGTTCAACTTAACGCTTTTGTTGTGCACTTTTTTGAAATCTTTCAAAGACGGACACTCCCGCTAGAAAGACCCTTTTATCATAGTGTCATTGTTTGATGAAACATTTATCAGAAACCATCCATTTGAATACATATTTTAATCATATTGCTCAAGCTCTTCTTATGCTAAATCCAGAGAAACGTGTTATGTAGTGCTTTAACTCGTGTTGTCTTCCCGTTGACCATGCAACTTTTTACAGTTTAGCATTAATATAGTATAAAAAATGATGACCCAGTTCTGTGGTAAGCCTTCTTAACCAACTTCAATCCAAAACGGAAATACAAATATATTCCTTTTTCTTTTTTAAATCAATGGTCAATAGACCTCATTGACACCCAGGTGCTGAATACAAAAAAAAAGTCTAAGTAACATAAACCACAGATGCTTTACATTTGAATAAAACAGCAGCAAGCCATTCCATTACAAGAACGTAGCATTAAATCATCATCAATCATGTGATTTTTGTTGCAATTAAATATTTCTGGTATTAAAACATTAAGTCAAATTTGACCCCAGGAAAACGTGAAGGTTGTAGAATCTATCAATGCAGGTGGAAATGAGATGCCTCAATCAGAAAGCCAAGTACAGAAAGCCTCAGAATATTTTTGCTGCCTGAAGATCCCCACTTGCGAGCCTTTTGTTGCCGTCATATTGTGGAATTTCATAAAGCCACTCTCGCCAGCACCATCTGAAGCACCTTCTGCCGAGCCTGCAGTATGTTTTCAGGGAGCGTGCGCTACACATTGCAAATCTGATCCTCAGTCTCAGCAACTCGTGCAGAAGCTGCTCATTTACTCTGGGAGTCTAAAGCAAACCTGTCTGGGTTTCTAAAGAAAATGCTGTCTGCTAAAATGTACTGACAGTTCCTACTGGTTTGTTCTGTCTATCAATGTCTCCTCTCTCCTTCCTTCTTTCTCCCTACAGTTCATTTACACTTCTCACATATCTGTATGCCACATACTTTTGCTTTGTAGAGGCAAAATAAAAACATGATCCTGAAAATGAGCAGAAAAGGTCCTCTTTAAGATGTTTCCATGCTTTAATGTAAAAAAAAAAGAAAAGCCACCTCTTTTCACCCTCTGTCTGAAACCAGAACCCAGGCTGCTCTGATTGGTTAGCTGGCCTGCTCTGATGTGATTGGTCAACCGCTTAGAGATGTCCCGCCCCTTAGCCATAGTACAATGTGTTGGAGCCCTAGCCAATAGAAGCGTGGGTTAAATAGTGATGTCACTATGTTCCAGAAGTAAACAAAGGAGTCCAATGGAGGCGAAACTCCCTCTGTAGGGAACACAGGAATTGTAGCCTCTGCAGACCCTTTACATGCACTAAAACCTATAGAGCAGGGGGTTTTGAGTCTGCCTGATTCAGTGGAATCTCCTGGCACGGTGGCCGGGGCTGTGGCAGCAGTATCTCCTAGTGAAGGCCACGTTGATACTCCTGGTGTTCAGAGTGCTAGTGCACAGGCAAAACCCTTTACCACGCCTCAGTTTGACCCGCTTTCTGCCCAGTCCTCTCCTACAGGCTCTAGGTTAGATGCCAGAATAAAAGTGCGTATGGCTCGTCTCCAGTGAGAGAAAAAGGAGAGGAAACTGATCTCTGAAGCCACAAGATGGTCTTTTAATGGACAAAAGAAAAAGGGCTCACCAGCCAACTTGCAAAGCAAACTAAAACACAAATATACACTGGAGTACATCTCCTAATAATTAACAAAACACAGGTCTCACACAGAGACAGAGACACCATGCAGCCAGAGGACAAGGAGAGAGAGCCTTCCTCAGGTCCTTTATGGAGGCCCTGATTGGGGATTGGGAGCACCTGAGGGAGAGGCTGCACCTGGAGACAATCAGGGGGAAAGAGAGAGAGACACACAAACACCCACACACACAAGCACCCACTACGGCACGTAACACACACACAACAGGAAAAGGAAAATCCCCAAAAGCAGAATAGGGCAGCTTTAAACCTCACTCAGTTTCTTGCTCTCAATTACTCAAACTCCGATGCGTTCAAATGCCATGAATGGTAGAGTTTTTCCTGCTTTGCTCCCACACACCTAACACTTAATTTATTTCTGAACTCTCTCTATCTCTCTCTCTCTCTCTCTCTCTCTGGCTTGGTGAGACAGCTCTGCAGTGTGGGCAGAGCGTCTGAGTCGGATTTGACCTCAGCAATGTTGTTCTCAGCTGACTAGTGTGTGTTTGACTCTCATGGCCTCGGGCCGTGAAACTTACGTAAAATATGGTGACGTTACTTTCTTCTGATGCTCAGCGGATCACTGTGAAATCAGACAACAGTGTGTGTGTGTGTGTGAGTGTGTGTGTGAAGACATCTTGTGTGTGCATAGAGACAATATAGTTGCACGCTGAAGGTAGTGCTAAGTATTCTTCTCTTCTGTATTTGATGGTGTTATTCCTCAGTGTGAATACAGGGGAATTAGACCCATCAGACTTGCTCTTTTTTGCACATTTCAGGTTTATTTTAGGACTTGCATATGTTCTGCTGACTGCTCTGATGAAAGGAGGGTGCTTTTCACACTCATGTTAAAATAGGTTAACGATGCATAATTTTGTTGCGAGACAAATGCATTTTTCATCCACAGTCAAAATATTTAATTAAAAAAGATGACTTTTGATTTTTAACCTGGATAAAAAGATAATATGTGCATTAACCTCTCTTAAATATAACCTTTGGTAGATGTCACGTTCTCAGGGGTTTCAGTGTTGGTAATCTGGTTTTCGTTGTTTAGTTAAGTGTGTTTATAAGAGTATGGGCTAACTGTATCTCAACTTACTGCTGTGTGTGTTTGAACGAAATCATAAACTTATCTACTTTATTGTTTAACAACGAAGCTAAGGACCCTAAAGTAAACTGTTGTAAATTATTCAAACATGTGATGTTTTGTCCAGTATTACAAATGACATCTTAACACCTGGCTAGCATTACCATAACACTGTTCATGGCTAATAGAAAGCTGTACATCTTACAACAGGTAACATATCGCCTGGCCTCTGAAGGAGTCTAGACAATATGTCACGTCAGTGTGCTGTGATGCAGGTTGACCAGTAATGAGAGCTGCAGGCCGGCTGGCACGGTGCCACGTCGCTCTGCGCTGGAAACAACAGCCCAGGGTAGCAGGGGCAGAAAGTACAAACATGCCAGGATCAAATATTAAATGAACACAGCTACACCTGGCATGTGAAACTGAGCTGAAAGCAAATCATCCATTGGACTAAAACCACCAGACTCAGGGACAGTTTCATTCCACTGGCCATAAGACTGTTAAACACCTGAACTAAGAACATCCATAACATTCACCTGTTTGCAACTTACAAATGATGTATCATTACATTACATGTCATTTGTTAGACGCTTTTATCCAAAGCGACTTACATACATTCAGTACTGTGGACAATCCCCACAGGAGCAATTTGGGGTGAAGTGTCTTGCCCAGGGACACAACGACATGCTGACTGCAGTGGGACTCAAACTTGCTATCCCCTGATTCGAAGTCCATCACACTATCCACTGAGCCACAGCCTCACTTGTATATAGACTCTTATGGCACTACTTATATTCTATTTTATTGTATTTACTTGCACTATTTGATCTGTTTTACTGTGTTGCACTGTTGGAGGAGCCTGTGACCTAAGATTTTCATCGACATAACTACACTGTAGCTATGTACGAAGGACAATAAAAGCTTTGAATCTTGAATCCTGCTAGCAACAAATGGATACAGTTCTGTAGATCTAGAGAAATCACAAGAATTCAGTTTTACACGACAGCTGTATGTAATAGCTAAGGAAGAGCACTTTGATATCCTGTGTGGTGAAGACTCGGATAGTGAGAGTTTTCTCCTCAGAGTTGTGTCCAACAGATTGTGTTTGTGTCTTTAGAAGCTCTCGGGTCAAAAAGAAACCTGAATAATATTTTGCTTACTGTCTGTCAGCTGAGTGCCAGGATGTTGCGGAAATGTTAGTTTGGGAACTTTGGCCCGTGGGAATTTTCTCTGCAACTCATGTCAGTAAAAGAAAAATCCAAATGCCCTTCGGTTAATGAAATAAGGCGATTAAAAACATGTTGTATCAGTTCTCGTGAACAAGAGATGCTCCAAAGTAGGGCAAAATATCCCGTTCCTGATTTTACCAATGATTTGATGAATAGTAAACAATGCTGTTAGATGCTTGTGTGTAAGTCTTACATGTGTTTAACTGATGGCTGTTCAGGGGTTCCTTTACTATTAATGCCATTTTGTTTACGGCTTATCCAGGATTTAGGAGTAAGAAGAGCGCTATGCAGCGACTGACAGTCACATACAGAGTGTTATTGTGTTGTGTTAGTCATATGCTTCATACGCAGAAATGTGTGGGCAGAGATAATTACATTACATTACATTAGATAAGAGTAATTTAAAAGACATATTCAGATAATGTTTCTGGAAAATATATGTAGAGGACGCCATATTCATTGCAAGAGTTAATCTTATCAGAAGCTGCACACTTTAGTTGAGTCAGTTGTGATGCGGTTTGCGTTATGTAATAAACTTAAATATGGTAATACTAAGTTATCATTTAATAAAATGAGGAGAGGGAAAAGTACAAAAAGCATAATAGGGACTCTTTAAGTTAAGTAAAAGTACCATTACTACAGTGCGGAAATACTCAGTTACATGTAAAACTATAGTATTCAATAGCCGCGTTCACACCGGAGTACTTTTCACCGTACTTTTTGCGTTTAGTTCCGTTAGTA